AAATAAAGCTTTATGTTCATCCTCTTACCCAAGCGCTACCTCGTCCTCTTCTGTTGGAACAGCGCAAGCGTCGCCCCTCCCAGAGCTGCAATCCAGTAGTGACGGTCAGTGGACGTACGACCAGAGATAGCAAACACCCACAACACTAACTTCCACCACTACACACACACACCAGCCCCATCTAACGGACAACATATTTATAATATTGCCGTTTTATATGGATATGGTGTTAAAAAAGTGTAAAAATAAATTCTACTTGAATAATAAAAAGTGAACACCCCACACACCAAAACCCAGGGAAAGCACCAACATGAGTTTAGTACAAAAAATGATCTTTGTTTCCAAACTATCCAAACGTTATGCCCTTAGACAAAGGGCCTTTAGAGCCCTTAGTCTAAAGTGGTGTGTTAAGAGATGTCACTCCTAAACAGTGAAGACATCACCACCAGGAAGCTGAAGCTGTTTCTTCAGAATCACTTCCTCAGATAAAATGTGACCCGCTCTATCGAAATCAGTCGGAAGTCTCAACGGCTCATCTCAAAAATAAACGTGGATTTACGTAAAAAACTATTTTTTCGGGGTTCAGGTGTTTTGTTTGATTTTAAACAAACAAAGTCTTGGCTTTCAGAATATGAAACTTTTATTTCCAAAATCACACGATAAATACATGTTTGAAGCTTGTAAAGGGACGAAGACAGCTCTCACTCGCACTCTGCTGTTCCGCAGCGCCGCCCCCCTCCCTCCCGCTGACATTATGAAAGAGTATAGTAATCATAGATAACACGGCAGGGTCCGTTACAGTTTGTTTTCATCTGATTTAAAATAAACAAAGTCTTGGCTTTCAGAATATTAAACTTGTTTCGGCAAATTCAGATGATAAATACAACTTTGAAGCTTCGGCATAATTACAAGCGGAGAACGGAGTAACTTAACGTCACAGCAGGCATAACAACAGCCGGTGTTTCTCGCGAGTGTTTTCCCCGGGAAACAAACAATACACACAAACGCAAAATTACACAAACACACACACACTTGCGAACTTCCCCTCCAACGAAAATATCTTCCCTCCGTAGTATTTTGATCAACCAATCAGATCGATGGATTCCAGAGAAGAGAAAACTTTGAAGGCCTTTTTCTCAAAATGATGACTCAGTGACAGTCGTTATATAATGTGACATATTTCGCTTAATATTTGGAGTACAACAACAATCCTGATATCATTAGAAAGCTAGGAATCTCCTCTTTCCAGCAGTGTGTACAACTCAAAATGTGTCTTCGGGTCAATGCGACTGATTTCGATAGAGCAGGTCACATGTGCCGGTCTTAAATTTCACTTTTAGGCAGAAACTGCAGATAAAAGATAAAAAAGTCACTTAACTTAAAGGGCCATCAACTATTGCGTTATAGAGATATTTTGAAACGGCTAAACGTAGGATGAGGATATTGGCCTAAAGCATTGTTGCCTCAGTATGGGTGTTTCTGAGATTGGGATATTTGTGTCTTTTGTCCCACTTCCTGCATCCAGCCGTTTGCTTTACATGCTAGCTTGGGGTGACATAAGTTTTGAGTGTTTAAAACAGCGTCAGTCCGTCTGTTGTGAGTGAGCTGCAGCTCTGTGTAGGACAGCGTCTCCTAATGACTACATGTGGTAGAGAAAGCCTCAGAAACACATCCCCACAGCTTCAACATGCAACATCCACACAGGAAGAAGAGCTTGGAGTGTGAACATGCGACTAAATACAGAGCACTGCGATAGGAACAGGTTTAAAACATTTTACCCGGTCTTTTTCATGAGCCTTTTCAGGAATCCACACCGCCATAAACCGCCAGCGATGGCAACTAAGGCGATTGCTTCGTGAGAAACAAAAAGGAAGATGGTGAAGGATGATCGTCCACAATAAAATAAGTCAATGAAATGCATGGAAGGGTTAGATGGTTATTGTTCTTGGGCTTCAATAGCTTCTGCTCTTTGGAAGCAAACCATTGAGTGAAAACACACCTTCCTAATGAACTGGATATCATGCACAAACCACAGCACGTCACGAATGACTCATAGAAGATGATGCTCCCTGCAGAACTGTTCTTCTGAGGACATCATCATCTTATTTGAGTTTCAATTATCACTTTATATTCTAGAATTCATGTTTAAACTTACCTGCAAAAGCAACACCGAGCCCCGTGTACAACCTCTTTCCACCGTCTGTAAAAATAAAAGAAGTGTGTTAAGTTAAACTACAACTCTCTTCAGAATCAGAAGGCAAGTCGGTCGAGTTATTATTTGACCATAAAAAAATAAAATAAAAATGTTTTACATGAAAATAAGAAGTTGAATAAAAATGTAGAATAAAAATAAGTTAAAATATATTTACACATGAAGTTAAAAACATATAACATGTGTATTACAATATGTATTGTTAATAATAACATACTAATGCTTAACTGCACAGTTAAATGTGTTGTAAATATTTTAAAACTTGTATTTAATAGGAGATTATTCTGGGGACTTACTTGGGTCAGGAGCTGCTGAAGAAGAGACAAATAACATATTAAACATCAGACATAAAACCTTCCGTTTCATAAACACAGATTCATTTAACGATGTTTGGAGCAACCGTCTGAAGCGCGACGAGATAACCCCCGATTATCAGCATGGAGTCACGGCTGTCAAATCTACTTAAGAGGAACACAAGAGCGTCTTGTTTATTCAAAGTATGTGTAAGTTACAGCTCCCATGCTGAGGTCACAGAGGCCTACAATAAAGAAAGATTAAAAGACTAAAGGTGTTTTCAGCTGCAGCTTAAACATGTCCGCTGTCCACTGAGTGTTGTTCAGTTTGGGATAAAAGCTGCTTTATGTTGGGGGACTTGAGTATTGATATATATATTTATAAATCATGCTGTTGAGTATCTTAGGGCTCGTACTGAGAAGCAAAAATACCTACAAATCTGTAAGGAAAGAGGGTGCCAGACCATTAAGAGCTTTATAAACCAGTACAAGGACTTTAAATCAATTCTAAAAGACACAGGTTTGTGTTATCTTTAGGGCCGAGACTCGATTAAAAAAATTAATCTAATTAATTAGAGGCTTTGTAATTAATTAATCGAAATTAATCGCATTTTTAATCACATATACATATTTGACCTAAGAACAGTGAGAAGCAAATTTTTTTCACATGGATTTTAGTATACCATTAGGCGCATTCACACCGCAGTACTTTTCCCACAAAGGTTCATGAGAACTTAGTTCATGAGAACTCTTTGAACCTGGGGGTGGATTACGCAAATGAAGCCGCTGACGTCACTTCTTCTTCTTCTGCTTTGGGTTTACTGGCAGGCCGCAAACCACTTCACGGCGTATACTGCCGCCCAAAGTCCCCGGCCGGAAGTCCCCGGAGTTGGGGAAGGCTTCAGTAGAAGCTGCTGGGAGTCCCAGCAGCCTTCCGAGTAAATCGCCAGAACGCCGACACCTCCTCATCTCCACCGCTCCCATGTTTTATTTTGTGTTGCCATAAGTTAGTCTCTCTGCGTTTCTGCGCTGGGCTAATGCTAATGCTAATAATGCTAATGCGAGGATAATAAAATGGCGGCTTCACAAAACTTTTTGGGAGTTTTACGGGGCGTGGTTTGCAATCCGCCCAGCCAATCAGAAATATAGCTCTTTTCTCACAAGAGAGCCGCACGAAAGTCCCTGCTCTCTAGCAGCTCTCTGCTCTCTAGCAGGGACTTTCGTGGGGGTAAAAAGGTTCTCATGAACTAATTTTAGTACCGGCTCTTTTTGGTGTGAACGCGATAAAAGAGGCTAACGTCCACGCTAGCTTCCACGCTAGCTGCTATATGTTTTGCATTGAGGTGATACTTGAGGCTTGATGTGCTGCGGTGATATGCAAATTCCTTTTTGCATAATTTGCACACAACCGTGCTCTTATCGACACTTCCATCCGTACGTTTTTTAAAACAACATTTCCCACTGTTGTTCACTGTGGTTTGTTGTTGTCTGAAGTCATGAACGTTCGTTGGTGCTCCAGTATAATCGGTACGCCTGAAACTCATCCAGTGAGAAACGTTCCGCGGTGCAAAAATAAGTGTGATTAAAATGCGTTAATTTTTTTAACGCGTTAATTTTTGTGTAATTAATTAATCTTAATTAACGCGTTAAAGTCCCGGCCCTAGTTATCTTATTTAAATGTTAGTCAAATCTACTCGAAAGGAACACAAGAAAGAGCTTTTCTAGCGTCTTGTTTATTTAAAAAGTATGTGTAAGAAGTCTAGGATGGATTCAATCCCATTTGTAAGGCGACCATCTCCATTTCAATGTCTTTCCTTTAACCTGTTGAGCCTGTGTTCCAGGTCTCAGGCTCCAAAAGGACATTCTCAGAACAAAGGACCATATCTTCTAAAAGGGGTACATTAATAATCTGTTTTCTCAAAGCAATGATAAACCTGTGAGTTGGATGTAGAAGAGTCAGAATCAATATAGATGTTTTTATTTTAAAGTAAATTCAGATTGGAAACAGTAAAAAAAATGTAAATGATAGTGTCCGTCCAAAATAACCCATTCCTTATAGTGAAAACTACCCTTGGATGATGGTGAGGTAGACTAAAAGCTTTAGGAATCCAAACTACAACATATGATAAGTACCCTGTATCAAGATTGATGCAAAACAAGTGACATTTGACCTTTTTAGAGAGATTTAGAAGAAAAAACCACTTCTGGGGTCATTTGGGTGGATTTGACCCATCTCTGGCCCCTTGGTCGATTTAGATGATTGACATCTCTTTCTAACCGCTAGAGCCAATAGAATCGAGAGGGAAGTTCCTAAAATCCTTCTAAACATTACCCTAAGGTGAATGAGTGATGCGCAGCCAGAATGCCCCAAACAGGAAGCTCTCATACACTCTGGTGGCTATCATAGCAGCTATATATAAAATGGATTATCAGAAATCATTCAAAGTGACAAACACATTGGATTAACCTATGGATTAACCTTCAGCCGCGTTTTTATCGTTTTGATGCCATTGAACACGACTTTTGATCAGAATAACAGCAAAGGTAAGACGATCTTCCGTAAAGCTACGTGTTGTGATGTCTGGTGTTGCTTCCCATGTCGTGAGTTCTGATCGCTCAGTGATGATACTTTAATCAATATCTTGTTTGTGCAGATCCGATAAGTAATAAGGGTATTTTTAACTGCTAAGTGCGTTAGCATTTTTTCGCTCAAGGCTCATTTAGACGTTTCTTGTGAGACTTGTGTTTTGTTTCGGTAAAAATGGTATGTATCGTCAGTTAGCTGAGTTTCTTCCCGTTAAGTGGGTATGACACATTCATAGGTTTTTAAATATTAAGAAGCCCTGAGACACAGTTTCGTGAAGTAACACCCCGCAGGCCCCGGATTAGGGTCCTCTCGGGCTTAACAGGTTAATATGATTCTTTAATATAATGTTTTTAATTTCATTTAATATGTTATTCATTTAATTTAACATAATTTAATGAATTTCATTTAATATATGTTATTTTAATTGATTCAATTCTTAACAATGAAGGCACAGAACTGCACTTAATCACATGCATGACCAAAAAGCAGAAAATCATGCAAAATGTAAGAATTATAACAAGATTCATTTTAAATACACATGCGTTAATCGCAAGTTAAAATAATTAGTGGCGTTAATGCGTTAATTTTGACAGCCCTAATTATAACACAACATTCATTTGAAAAGACAGCCCTCGTTGCGTGCAATATTAGCAGAAAATCCACGTTGAAAGCTCAACTCCAATCCAACCATTGAGCAGTAAACAGATCAAACATCCCAGAATAATCATTGATCACCCTAACGAGACAGATATTGAAATGGCCTCTACCTGTGGGCTTCGTGGTGGATTCAGGACTTTTAGTGGTGGTGGTTTTATCTGCTGGTACCGCTGCAAAATATAATACATTATAATAATTAGTGCAAATATCACAAATAATCAGGGTTGCCCTCGACTCAACATTTCTCTAGTCGTCCGATTGTCGTCAATTCGGGCATTTAGTCGACTAATCGTCTCACGTTTATGAAACATTATGATTATTAATATGATTTTTTTTGTCCTCCCAAAATGGTTTCAGTTTCAAAGGCTGATAAAGAATGTTATTCACTGTTTTTAATTTAATGTTTTAAATGAAGTACAATGTCTTTCATTTAATAAATCTTATTTTAATTGATTCAATTCTTAACAATGAAGGCACAGAACTGCACTTAATCACATGCATGACAAACAAGCAGAAAATCATGTGCAGCCCCTCGTCCTCCACAGTGTTAATTAGCCTGCAAGCTGTAGCCACCCATTTAGCTATCGCTGTTGAAAGCTTGCTGCTCGTAGACGTGTCCAGGCGTCTCCCCGGCAAACTTTCAAGCGTGGTCTGCCGCAAGCGAGCGGCAGGAGCGGGGCTGAGCATCAGCTGTGTGCTTGGCTTGCTGTTTAAAACATCTTTTCTTGTATCCATATAGAATCTCCCACCATCCAACTAACAACAACGTCGAGCCTTTGCGCTCTGAAACTACGGGGCGGGCCGAGGGCAAATACACATGCGTTAATCGCACGTTCAAATAATTAGTGGCGTTAAAGGTCCCATGTCATGGCCATTTCCACTGATCATAATTCCATTGTTGAGGTCTACTAGAATAGATTTATACTGTGCAATTTTCCAAACTCACATTGTTTCGCATACAGCATCTCTGTAAAGTACGTGTATTCAGCAGTATTCACTCTCTCCACGAAACGGCTCGTTGCAGCTCTTGCCCCCCCCTCCCTGTGAGCCCAGTGTGCTCCGATTGGTCAGGACCAGTCGGGACGTTGTGAATCGCGCTGAGCTCCGTGGAGGTGTGATTTCCTCGTTTAGCGATACACAGTCAAACTCACCCTGAGCACACACAAAGTCACAGCCGAAGTAAAAACAATAAGTGTGGCTTGATATTGAGTAAGAAAAAGGTTGATAAACGCTGAGAGAATGGACGATATGATGTCATGATGTACCCGGAAGAATCAAATGGACAGTGACGTATCTCCAACGAGGCGTTTTGGGGAGGTATTTTCTGTGTTAGAGTTTTACTCGCTACATGGTGTACTTTGAGGGTTTTGACTCTGCAGACCATTTACATGCATAAAAACCTTCATAACACACAAGGGGACGGGTACTAACCGGACCTTTAAGAGAAATGTGCGTTAACTTTGACAGCCCTAATTATATAACCCTAACACAACATTCATTTGAAAAGACAGCCCTCGTTGCGTGCAATATTAGCAGAAAATCCACGTTGAAAGCTCAACTCCAATCCAACCATTGAGCAGTAAACAGATCAAACATCCCAGAATAATCATTGATCACCCTAACGAGACAGATATTGAAATGGCCTCTACCTGTGGGCTTCGTGGTGGATTCAGGACTTTTAGTGGTGGTGGTTGTATCTGCTGGTACCGCTGCAAAATATAATACATTATAATAATTAGTGCAAATATCACAAATAATCAGGGTTGCCCTCGACTCAACATTTCTCTAGTCGTCCGATTGTCGTCAATTCGGGCGATTAGTCGACTAATCGTCTCACGTTTATGAAACATTATGATTATTAATATGTTTTTTTTGTCCTCCCAAAATGGTTTCAGTTTCAAAGGCTGATAAAGAATGTTATTATAACAGCATGGTACGTTGTGCTTCATATAAAACACAAAATAAAACTGTAATAATGAACCTTTGAAATATAAATTAAATACCAACACCTTCTCTAAATAATTTGGATTAAGGGCAAAACTAGTCTCTTAAAAAGTGGGGCATCTTCCTGATTGTGAGGAACCACAGAGGAAATAAAGAAAATCCCCAAAGCTCCATGTATCTGAACAGGAAACCACAGAGCGTGCTTCTGGACTAAAGGTGGACTCATGTTCAGACTAAGGCTGCACGACATGGAGGAAATTAACTGTTGGGGATTATTTTTGATTTATATTGCAATATAATATATATGTATAGAAGAGGATCCGAACCAAACAATCAATAAAATGTTACCTCTCATTTATCATATATGAAGAATTCATTTTCACAAATTGATTAAAGCCAATCTTAAAATGATGAAACAAACGCCTGTTTGAGACTCCTCAGTGCACACAAACACATAACCTGGAGAAATAAATAAATACGGATATGTTATTGATCACCCCTCGATGATGTTCTCTTGTTATGAAATGTGTTCTCATAAATGATGATAAGCAGGAGGACAGAATTACGTCTAAACTGACGCCGTGTTGCATTTCTATAGGTTGTAGATACGAGCATGGTTTTATATACTATCACGTTTAATCGTGTTTTATGCCGTTCGCCAAAACTTGACAAGTCGCTCGTAAAACACAGGAGGTATGGAAACTAAGAACACCATATGTGGTACATTTAACAGCTAATATAACAACACATTAGTTGTATTTCCTTTAACTGGTGGATATAGGGTTGCTGCAGTGGAGACGCTGCGCACAGCTGATCGACAGCTGGAACACAAACCACCAAATACAAACACATAATTCAGATCCAGTCGTCATGACTCCACTCCGGAGGGATTCCCGATCACTTCTTACAGTCTCTCATCAAGGGGGGGGTCTCCTGTCCCCGGTACAAACACACTGCCTGAGGAAGGCTATGTGTATTCTTTTTGTCATTAACCTTTTTCGGACCACTTATTTATTTATGTTGGTGACGATCCGACCTCCATGCTGCTACTCTGGTTCAAACTGCATCCACCAAACAATATGATTTATCTCCACCTCCCCAAAATAACCAGAATCTGACACGGTGTGAGATGTCTTTTTTAGCTTTTCTGTCGTCATTTCCTGCGATCTCCTTCATGCAGTCAGTCAGAATGAATGAATGAATGAATGAATGGGCGGTTCTTTGACTATTCATAGGCAAATATGGGCGTTACGTGAAGCCCGCAAAAGCTGCGCCGCATTTAAAGGGAAACCGGTGTAGGAGGTGCCGTACGCAAGTCCTGTGCCGGTACGCAGTCTTTTATGAATCGGAAAGTGTTGGTGCGTATTTATTTGCTTTGTCCTACGTAAGCAACCTTCCCACGCCAATCCTACGCAAGGCTTAATAAATGAGGCCCCTGGTGAATACACAGACTATACAGAGATGCTGTTTGAGAAACCAATGTGATTTTGGAAAATTGCACAAATTAAATCTATTCTAGCAGACCTCAACAATGGAAATATGATCAGTAGAAATGGCCATGATATGGGACCTTTAACATTTCTGGGTATTTTCATTGAGACTTACGTTCACATTTAGAATTAATTTCAACTTAATAGAGCGGTGCAGGAATGAGTCCTAAAACCAGGAAGTGAGTCAGCATTTCTCCACTTCCTGTTCCCTGGTCTCAGAGCCAATGGGATCTCTCCATAGGGTTTAGGAAACTATTTGAACTAAGGTCTGTGGTTGAGACGCATTGAAGAGACGGATCACGTTTCGTTCTAGGACATTAAATCCATCAGCAGTGACCCCTCTGGTGATTTCTGAAGAGTTGACGTGTCTGAGAAACGATGGTTGTTACCAAGTGGCTGAACAGGACTACAGAAGTCGTGGAGGCCGTTGTACGTCATTACGCCGAACACGTAAACACTCCTCTAAGTTAGTTTCTGTTCTGCTTGAAAGCAAGTCCCTGCCTCCTGCAGACTGTTCAAACAAACGCTTCAACTCGTTCCATTTAGAATCTGTGTGTTTGAATATGGATCTGAAGTTGGCGTGACGTTGAAGTCGTGCTGCTGTAATAATAATAATAATTAAAACTGCGGTCGCACTTGTGCGCGCAGTGATGAGCGGGTCCTCGCGTCCGTGCGCCTGTCGGGGAGGGCAGCCGGTCGTCCCGGCGTCAAGCAGACGCGCGCGAGTCCTGGGAAATGAGCGGTTTCTCATTTCTATAATTTTCGTGTCCCAGAATCCCAGGTCCTCCGGCAGCGACCCGGAAACGGATGTCAGCGCGCCGTCTCGAAGGAAAACTAATGTCTCTAAAGGCTCGTCGAGGATAGATTATCGAGGAGGCTGTGTGGAAGAGCTTAACCGAGGATACACTGATTTAGAGGAGAGAGGAGTGTCTCTGGAGGAGCTATAACCGAGGGTACACTGAAGTATTCTCCTGAGACGATTTCAGCCAACAGTGATGTTTAAAAGAGGTGTGACGCATGGCTGGACTTCTGTCAACGAAGCACAGCTCTGCAAACTGTTCCTGTTGTGATTATAAGTTATTTGAGATGATCAAATGTGCATCAGACTTTCTGCCCTTTACCATTTGTTTACTCACTAATCACATGTCCCCTGGATGTTAGGTGATGTTACAGTGAGAACAGCTGCTGAGGTCAGTGCAGAAAGCAGAAGAGATATCTACAAATAAACAGTAGGGTTAGGGTTAGGGAGTGTATAGGTGTCTGTTGTAATGAATATGCCGCCAGAAAAGAGTGTTGTTGGACTAACAGTAGGTGTGTGTGTGTGTGTGTGTGTGTGTGTGTGTGTGTGTGTGTGTGTGTGTGTGTGTGTGTGTGTGTGTGTGTGTGTGTGTGAGAGTTGATGTGCCAGGCAAACAGGCAGGCCTCAGTAGCTTATCCGACATATAATTGGTAAAAAATGGTACATTCTCCGTTAGCCTACGAGCTCCCCGTTTGAGCGAAGGACTATTCCTTCTCAAAGTAGCATGACATTGGATATGCGCTGAAGTTGTCCTGGATTGGAATTGTTCCGATCATTCCCCTATGAGGAGTTTGCAGAAATGTCCTTAAAATGCATGAAAAACGGCCATTTTTCAAAATGGCCGACTTTCTGGTGGGCGGGGCTAATGGAAGGCAATTTGAAATATGTGTGCAATCATAATAGCAATATGTATACAGCGTTTCGTGAATATTGGAAAAAGTATACGCGAGTAGTTTGGAGTCATTTGGAGTCATTTGTGACATGTAAATCGTAATAAATGGTGTATTCGCTGTTAGCTTACGACCTCCACGATTGAGCTATAAAAAAATGTTCTTCTCAATTTAGCATCATATTGGATAGGGGCTGAACTTGTGCTGGATTTGAATTTTTCCAATCATTCCCCTAGGAGCAGTTTGCAAGAATGTGCTTAAAATGCATGAAAAACGCACATTTTTCTAAATGGCCGACTTCCTGGGGGGCGGGGCTAATGGAAGGCAATTTGAAATATGTGTGCAATCATAATAGCAATATGTATACAGCGTTTCGTGAATATCGGAAAAACTATATGCGAGCAGTTTGCAGTAATTTGCGCCATTTAAATCGTCAAAAATTGTGTATTCGCTGTTAGCTTACGACCTCCACGAGTGATTTTTCAAAAATGTGCTCCTCAATTAAGTATCATATTGGATAGGGGCTAAACCTTTCCTGCATTGGAATTTTTCCGATCATTCCCCTAGGAGGAGTTCGCAAGAACGTGCGTAAAATGGCTGAAAAACGCACATCTTTCAAAATGGCCGACTTTCTGGGGGGCGGGTCTAATGGAATGTATTTACAAATATATCCGCAATTCCATGAGAAATGTCTGTGCCAAATTTCGTGAAGTTCTGAGAAACTATATGTGACTACCACATAATAGGGGGCGCTAGTGAGCAGTTTTTTTGAAAATGTACGTTTTTTTTTTACATTCTCGAAAAGGTCCTGGGCTCTGACGTGTGTCCAAAGTTTTGCGTCCGAAGCTCATTTTATGCTATCGCAATTTTAAAATAATGTATAGGCCACGCCCACATTCTGCATTTGTTTCGACACTTTGAATCTAAGTTCGTAGTCGCCCCGAGAGTATGTGTAAAAAAAAAAAAAAAAAAGATTAGTCCATCCGCTCTTGAATTATAAATTGGTGGTGTTTTTGGCGCCCCCTATAGTACAAAATGAAAATGCTTTGGTGTGCCTATTCCCCAAGACAGACTGAACGTTTCCACCAAAATCTGTGATGTTTGGATACATTGTTGATGAATTATGAGCATTTATTTCCAAGCCCCGCCTTTTTGCGAGTACGTTTTAATTCATGGCGGAAATATTTATCGTTTGAACATGCTCATCTCCTAGGGTCATGTGTCTGACCCTCCAACGATGCTGTATACGAAGTTTGGTGTTGATAAACTGAAAATTGAAATTTAAGTGAATATTTAACTGTGTATGTAAATTATGCCAATTAAAAAGAAAAAATGTAGGCGGAGCTTAGGGTTCCAATTGGATTATTTGTAGAGCAGGTCCACCCGGATATGTGTGCAAAATTTCAGGTCATTCGGAGTTACGGTGCGACTTTGTGAATTTTTCCGAAATGGAATTGGTGGCGCTAGCGAGCATGTTGGAATATTTTAACAAATTGAGTCCAGAATATTGTAATTTTCACCGATTCTGGAATCTGTGCAAAATTATACAACTTTGTCCTAAAGGCCTCAAAAACAGGAAAGATGGCGACTAAAAATAATAATACCACCAATAACAATAGGTATCCTCGCACTTCGTGCTAGGACGCCGTTGGGTCCTAGCACTCCGTGCTCGGGCCCTAATAAAGCATTTTATTTATATAGCGCTTTTCACAACTCAAAGACGCTTTACAGTATGAGGGAGGGTAGACAGACAAGGACAGGCAAACAAGTAAGTATATTAAAATAAAAAATAAAATAAAAATAAAATAAAAAGGCAGTCAAGAGGAAGTTGATTGAGAGGGGGGGGGGGGGCTTATGGGTAGACAGAGTTGAAAAGATGTGTTTTGAGGCAGGACTGAAAGACTGTGAGGGACTCAGAGTCACGGAGATCTTGGGGGAGGGACTTCCAGAGCCGAGGAGCTGCCACTGAGAAGGCTCTGTCCCCAAAGCTGCAGAGTGTGGATGTGGGAATGGATAGGAGTCCGGCTGCGGTGGATCTGAGGGACCGTGGAGGTTGATAAGGAGTGAGAAGGTTTGTGAGATAAGGGGGGGCCAGATGGTGGAGTGCTTTGTAGGTGAGGACCAGAACTTTGTAGTTGATGCGATGGGAGACAGGAAGCCAGTGGAGGTCTTTGAGGACTGGGGTGATGTGATGCCATGATGTGGTATGCGTGAGGAGACGTGCAACTGCATTTTGAACCCGTTGGAGTCTGTTGAGGGATGTAGTGCTGATGCCGTAAAGAAGTGAGTTGCAGTAGTCGAGGCGGGAGGAAATGAAGGCATGGATTAGTCGTTCGGCTGCGGGGCGGGTGAGAGAGGGTCGGATTTTTGCAATATTGCGGAGGTGGAAAAATGAGGTTTTGACTGTTTGGCGGATGTGAGGTTCGAGGGAGAGGGTGGGGTCAAAGATTACGCCAAGGTGGCGTGCCTGATTGGATGGGGAAACAATGGTGCCGTCGATGGTGAGAGTTATGTTAGTGACCTTGCTGAGGGTGGATTTGGAGCCGATTAGGAGGAGTTCTGTTTTGTTGCTGTTCAGTTTGAGGAGGTTATGTTGCATCCAAGATTGAATAGCTGTCAGACAGGAATCGATGTGGGTAAGGGGGGGGTTATGGAGGGATTTGGTGCTGAGGTACTTCCTTTATAGCATAACGTTAGCATTTTGCTTCTGGACATTAGATTTATGATTCCAACATTATAAAAGCAGGGAAGACATGTGGAGATTATCCGGCTGAACAAAACGTGCATTTATCAAACAGGGTCGTTTTCCACAGACCTTATTTCCAGCTATTTTCCTAAATCCTCTGGAGAAATCCTATTGCTTTTTGTGGAGGGAACCAGCAGCTTCCTTCAGGGTAAATACGTCCTCCCTGCACCGCTCTATAGCGCAGCCCTAATTGAAACTCCCCAGGTTTATCTAAATAGGATTTTCTTTGAGACTCACCTTCACATTTTGGGAGTGCAGGCTCCCACAGTTCGTTGATCCCACAGATTATGGTGGCAGAATTTGTCATCCTGTACCCCTTGTCGCACTTGAACGTGACGGTAGCCTTGTAAGTGTAGGGGCCCCGCGACCCCGAATCCCAATGACCGAACTCAACAACTGGCTCCTTACAATCTATCTCTGAAAGAACATCAAAATACACAGGAAGGAAATTCAGAAAAATGTCCAAAAACAACTGATTTAGAGTAAATTAGAGTCAGAGCTGAGATGCAATGGGAACATGTTAAATGAAGTGAAGTGAATAAAAGTGTCTTCATGTCTTAAAGCTGCTGAGTAGGGATGGGTATCGAGAACCGGTACTAAGTCAGTACCGGTAGCCGATTGGACGGTATCGGTATACCGTTAAGCCGCTGGACAAACGGTGCTGCTATCGGTATATGAATTACGCTACTTCCTTAGATGAAACAATTCTGGTTGGTTGGGAACCCTCATCCTGTGTGACATATCCGGTTTGAGTACCCCTCTGATTGGCCACTGTGAATGCCACTCGTCATCTCTCCTAACAGCGCTCTTGTTGTTGTGAGACTCCCGGGGGCAGACGCAACATCTTGCAAGAAACAGCGTCTCAAGGCTTCTTAACATTGAACAACCTATTCATATGTCATACCCACTTAACGGGAAGAAACTCAGCTAACAGACGATATTATCCACTTTTGAAAAGTATCGATAAGAGTATCGAAAAACACCGGTACCGATACAAAAAACGAAACCCATCCCGACTGCTGAGTCATATGTTGCTCCTCAAACAACAAATAAATCCAGAGGTTTCTTTACTTCCTCTACAGAGAAAAGGAAAAGAAACAAAAATCTCAGTTTCAGTGTCAGACCCACCGGACATCCATCCCGTAATTAAGCTGTCTCTGCCGCCTGACGTCATTATTCAGTTTCTGACGAGCAGGAATATTGTTTTCTGGCATCACTTTAACATTTTACAGGGAAAACCTGCGTTTTGGTTTGAGGGCGCACGGCGAGAGTAAGAGGGTGCAGACATCCAATAAAAGGATCAAATAAAGATATTAATATAACCTGTTTAGCCCTGAGCCTGTGTTCCAGGTCTCAGGCTCCAAAATGACATTCCCAGAACAAAGGACCATATCTTCTAAAAGGGGAAAATTAATAATCTTTTTTCTCAAAGCAATGATAAACCTGTGAGTTGGATATGGAAGAGTCAGAATCAATATAGATTTTTTTTATGTGAAAGTAAATTCAGATTGAACATAGTAAAAAAATGTTAATTATAGTGTCCATAAAGCATTACTTATAGTGAAACCACCCTTGAATGATGGTAAGGTAGACTAAAAGCTTTAAGAATCCAAACTATAACATATAATAAGTACCCTGTATCAAGATTGATGCAAAACAAGTGACATTTGACCTTTTTAGAGAGATTTAGAAAAAAAAAACCCACCTCTGGTCATTTGGGTGCATTTTCCATATCTCTGGCCCCCCACGGTGGATTTGACGGTCGATTGACATCTCTTTTTAACCGTTAGAGCCAATAGAATCGAAGGGGAAGTTCCTCAAATCCATCTAAACATTACCCATTGGTGAATGAGTGATGCATAGCCAGAATGCCCCAAACCGGAAGCTGTCATACACTCATGCAGCTATATATGAAAACTCAGTTTTTGCCATAAATATGATGATGGATTATCAGTAATCATCCAAAGTGACAGACACATTGGATTAACCTATGTGTTAGGGAATAATTCTTCCTTACTCCTAAGATATTTAACCTTTCTGTGTGTTGACGTTTACGACCAACCCTGACTCTGTTATCTCCCGTAAGGAATGTGCTAATGCAGTCATATGTTGATATTTCTCAGTCTATGACTAGTCAACTCTCGGACACAGAGCCTAAGAGTCAGACAAGTGATTGAGTGTCTCCAGATGTTGGGGATATCTCCAGTGTTCCCAGCTGTTGATTAACTCTCTGTAAACTAGTTAAAAGGTCTATCGAGAGAGAGACTGGGCAGAATTGATGTGGCAACTCTCCGGGCAGTCAGAACCTCTGGCTGCTGTGACTTGTGATGTGAAATTCTCCGGCCGATACTTGTAATAAAACACCAGTGTTTGACATCAAAGCTCCAACTCTCCTCGTGTCTCTCTGAGTCCTGACTCTCCATTGCTGCAGAAGTTTCCCTTACACTATGGATTAACCTTCAGCGTTTTTATCGTTTTAATGCCATTGAACACGACTTTTGATCAGAATAACAGCAAAGGTAAGACTATTTCCCGTTTTTAGCTCCGTTAAGCTACGTGTTGTGATGTCTGTGTTTGCTTCCCCTGTCGCTCAGTGATGATACTAATACCTATAGAATCAGTGGAATCTGATATCTTGCTTGTGCAGATCCGATTAGTAATAAAGTATTTCTACCGTGAGTTCTGTGCTAAGCGTGTTAGCATTTTTTCGCTCAGCGCTCATTTAGACGCTTCTAGTGAAAATTGTGTTTTGTTTCGGTAAAAATTGTTCATATCGTCAGTTAGCTGAGTTTCTAACCGTTAAGTGGGTATGACACATGAATAGGTTTTTAAATGTTAAGAAGCCCTAAGACACAGTTTCGTGAAAGAAAAACGGCAGCCCCCGCAAAACGTAAAAAAAAATAAAGATTTAAAAAATGGTATATGAACAAAGGAAGTCGAGGAATAAAGACAAGCAATTTATATTAAATAAAACATCCCAAAAAAAAGGATGTAAAATAACATTAGAAAAATATATATATAAAGTAAAAATGTGCACATTGCACTACAATAAATGGCATGTATATTACAATATATAGAAAGGTTTGAAAGGGTGTATTGTAGATTATAAAGGACTTACGGACACACTCCGGGACGGCCGGCGAAAAGACCCCGGACTCTGAGCAGGACAGAGACTTCGATCCGTTCAGGGTGAAAGTGTCAGGACAGGAGAACACGATCACCTCTCTGTATTCATACTCCTCTTTGACCGGATAGAAGCTGCCGATGGTCGGAGTCTTCGGAGGATGACAGTACATCACTGAAACATTCAATACATGGGAAGAGACGGAGAGTTTCTATGTTACAAACTCAGTAATCACATAGCAGATGCAAATACGCTAGAACATTAGTATATTATCCAGGGGAACCAACTCAGATATCATTTTGCGCCAGCCTCTGAGATCTGGGACCTGATGTTAGTAGTCATTTACAGAGATGGTAAAAGTATCCTTAACTCAAGTAGAAGTACAGATACTCGTGTTTAAAGATATTCTGGTGAAAGTAGAAGTACTGACTAAACTTCTTTACTCAAGTGAAAGTAAAGAGGCTTTGAAATGTACTTCAGTAAAAAGTACCCATAGCTAGCAGCTGTTTTAAAGAGTACCTGACCTCCCTTTATATTAATAGAACAATAATGTCATTGTTAGCTAATGAATGTTTCCATGCTGAACAACGGCAACATGACAACGTTTCCATTGGTCCCTCTTCTTTAGAGAAGACCAGGAAATGATGGATACACGGATCGTGTTCAAATCAATAGGCACGCAATGACTCTAAAGAATAATGATCACGCATCAAACACACATTCAGACTAAAGGAACCAGCTGTTTGGGAAATGAGAGAAGTAGAAAGTACAAGTATTTGAGTTCAACATGTAAGAAGTAGAAAGTACAGGTATTTGAGTTCAACATGTAAGAAGTAGAAAGTACAGGTATTTGAGTTCAACATGTGAGAAGTAGAAAGTACAGGTATTTGAGTTCAACATGTAAGAAGTAGAAAGTACAGGTATTTGTGTTCAACATGTAAGAAGTAGAAAGTACAGGTATTTGAGTTCAACATGTAAGAAGTAGAAAGTACAGGTATTTGGGTTCAACATGTAAGAAGTAGAAAGTATAGGTATTTGTGTTCAATATGTAAGAAGTAGAAAGTACAGGTATTTGAGTTCAACATGTAAGAAGTAGAAAGTACAGGTATTTGTGTTCAATATGTAAGAAGTAGAAAGTACAGGTATTTGAGTTCAACATGTAAGAAGTAGAAAGTACAGGTATTTGAGTTCAACATGTAAGAAGTAGAAAGTACAGGTATTAGAGTTCAACATGTAAGAAGTAGAAAGTACAGGTATTTGTGTTCAACATGTAAGAAGTAGAAAGTACAGGTATTTGTATTCAACATGTAAGAAGTAGAAAGTACAGGTATTTGAGTTCAACATGTAAGAAGTAGAAAGTACAGGTATTTGAGTTCAACATGTAAGAAGTAGAAAGTACAGGTATTTGAGTTCAACATGTAAGAAGTAGAAAGTACAGGTATTTGGGTTCAACATGTAAGAAGTAGAAAGTACAGGTATTTGGGTTCAACATGTAAGAAGTAGAAAGTACAGGTATTTGTGTTCAACATGTAAGAAGTAGAAAGTACAGGTATTTGAGTTCAACATGTAAGAAGTAGAAAGTACAGGTATTTGTGTTCAACATGTAAGAAGTAGAAAGTACAGGTATTTGAGTTCAACATGTAAGAAGTAGAAAGTACAGGTATTTGAGTTCAACATGTAAGAAGTAGAAAGTACAGGTATTTGAGTTCAACATGTAAGAAGTAGAAAGTACAGGTATTTGAGTTCAACATGTAAGAAGTAGAAAGTACAGGTATTTGGGTTCAACATGTAAGAAGTAGAAAGTACAGGTATTTGAGTTCAACATGTAAGAAGTAGAAAGTACAGGTATTTGAGTTCAACATGTAAGAAGTAGAAAGTACAGGTATTTGAGTTCAACATGTGAGAAGTAGAAAGTACAGGTATTTGAGTTCAACATGTGAGAAGTAGAAAGTACAGGTATTTGAGTTCAACATGTGAGAAGTAGAAAGTACAGGTATTTGAGTTCAACATGTAAGAAGTAGAAAGTACAGGTATTTGTGTTCAACATGTGAGAAGTAGAAAGTACAGGTATTTGAGTTCAACATGTAAGAAGTAGAAAGTACAGGTATTTGTGTTCAACATGTAAGAAGTAGAAAGTACAGGTATTTGAGTTCAACATGTAAGAAGTAGAAAGTACAGGTATTTGAGTTCAACATGTGAGAAGTAGAAAGTACAGGTATTTGTGTTCAACATGTAAGAAGTAGAAAGTACAGGTATTTGAGTTCAACATGTAAGAAGTAGAAAGTACAGGTATTTGAGATCAACATGTAAGAAGTAGAAAGTACAGGTATTTGTGTTCAATATGTAAGAAGTAGAAAGTACAGGTATTTGAGTTCAACATGTAAGAAGTAGAAAGTACAGGTATTTGTGTTCAACATGTAAGAAGTAGAAAGTACAGGTATTTGAGTTCAACATGTAAGAAGTAGAAAGTACAGGTATTTGAGTTCAACATGTAAGAAGTAGAAAGTACAGGTATTTGGGTTCAACATGTGAGAAGTAGAAAGTACAGGTATTTGAGTTCAACATGTGAGAAGTAGAAAGTACAGGTATTTGTGTTCAACATGTGAGAAGTAGAAAGTACAGGTATTTGAGTTCAACATATAAGAAGTAGAAAGTACAGGTATTTGAGTTCAACATGTAAGAAGTAGAAAGTACAGGTATTTGTGTTCAACATGTGAGAAGTAGAAAGTACAGGTATTTGAGTTCAACATGTGAGAAGTAGAAAGTACAGGTATTTGTGTTCAACATGTTAGAAGTAGAAAGTACAGGTATTTGAGTTCAACATGTGAGAAGTAGAAAGTACAGGTATTTGGGTTCAACATGTAAGAAGTAGAAAGTACAGGTATTTGTGTTCAACATGTAAGAAGTAGAAAGTACAGGTATTTGTGTTCAACATGTAAGAAGTAGAAAGTACAGGTATTTGTGTTCAACATGTAAGAAGTAGAAAGTACAGGTATTTGAGTTCAACATGTAAGAAGTAGAAAGTACAGGTATTTGTGTTCAACATGTGAGAAGTAGAAAGTACAGGTATTTGAGTTCAACATGTAAGAAGTAGAAAGTACAGGTATTTGTGTTCAACATGTGAGAAGTAGAAAGTACAGGTATTTGGGTTCAACATGTAAGAAGTAGAAAGTACAGGTATTTGTGTTCAACATGTAAGAAGTAGAAAGTACAGGTATTTGAGTTCAACATGTAAGAAGTAGAAAGTACAGGTATTTGTGTTCAACATGTGAGAAGTAGAAAGTACAGGTATTTGGGTTCAACATGTAAGAAGTAGAAAGTACAAGTATTTGAGTTCAACATGTAAGAAGTAGAAAGTACAGGTATTTGAGTTCAACATGTAAGAAGTAGAAAGTACAGGTATTTGAGTTCAACATGTAAGAAGTAGAAAGTACAGGTATTTGTGTTCAACATGTGAGAAGTAGAAAGTACAGGTATTTGAGTTCAACATGTGAGAAGTAGAAAGTACAGGTATTTGTGTTCAACATGTTAGAAGTAGAAAGTACAGGTATTTGAGTTCAACATGTGAGAAGTAGAAAGTACAGGTATTTGGGTTCAACATGTAAGAAGTAGAAAGTACAGGTATTAGAGTTCAACATGTAAGAAGTAGAAAGTACAGGTATTTGTGTTCAACATGTAAGAAGTAGAAAGTACAGGTATTTGAGTTCAACATGTAAGAAGTAGAAAGTACAGGTATTTGAGTTAAACATGTAAGAAGTAGAAAGTACAGGTATTTGAGTTCAACATGTAAGAAGTAGAAAGTACAGGTATTTGAGTTCAACATGTAAGAAGTAGAAAGTACAGGTATTTGAGTTCAACATGTAAGAAGTAGAAAGTACAGGTATTTGGGTTCAACATGTAAGAAGTAGAAAGTACAGGTATTTGGGTTCAACATGTAAGAAGTAGAAAGTACAGGTATTTGTGTTCAACATGTAAGAAGTAGAAAGTACAGGTATTTGAGTTCAACATGTAAGAAGTAGAAAGTACAGGTATTTGTGTTCAACATGTAAGAAGTAGAAAGTACAGGTATTTGAGTTCAACATGTAAGAAGTAGAAAGTACAGGTATTTGAGTTCAACATGTAAGAAGTAGAAAGTACAGGTATTTGAGTTCAACATATAAGAAGTAGAAAGTACAGGTATTTGAGTTCAACATGTAAGAAGTAGAAAGTACAGGTATTTGGGTTCAACATGTAAGAAGTAGAAAGTACAGGTATTTGAGTTCAACATGTAAGAAGTAGAAAGTACAGGTATTTGAGTTCAACATGTAAGAAGTAGAAAGTACAGGTATTTGAGTTCAACATGTGAGAAGTAGAAAGTACAGGTATTTGAGTTCAACATGTGAGAAGTAGAAAGTACAGGTATTTGAGTTCAACATGTGAGAAGTAGAAAGTACAGGTATTTGAGTTCAACATGTAAGAAGTAGAAAGTACAGGTATTTGTGTTCAACATGTGAGAAGTAGAAAGTACAGGTATTTGAGTTCAACATGTAAGAAGTAGAAAGTACAGGTATTTGTGTTCAACATGTAAGAAGTAGAAAGTACAGGTATTTGAGTTCAACATGTAAGAAGTAGAAAGTACAGGTATTTGAGTTCAACATGTGAGAAGTAGAAAGTACAGGTATTTGTGTTCAACATGTAAGAAGTAGAAAGTACAGGTATTTGAGTTCAACATGTAAGAAGTAGAAAGTACAGGTATTTGAGATCAACATGTAAGAAGTAGAAAGTACAGGTATTTGAGATCAACATGTAAGAAGTAGAAAGTACAGGTATTTGTGTTCAATATGTAAGAAGTAGAAAGTACAGGTATTTGTGTTCAACATGTAAGAAGTAGAAAGTACAGGTATTTGAGTTCAACATGTAAGAAGTAGAAAGTACAGGTATTTGAGTTCAACATGTAAGAAGTAGAAAGTACAGGTATTTGAGTTCAACATGTAAGAAGTAGAAAGTACAGGTATTTGGGTTCAACATGTGAGAAGTAGAAAGTACAGGTATTTGAGTTCAACATGTGAGAAGTAGAAAGTACAGGTATTTGTGTTCAACATGTAAGAAGTAGAAAGTACAGGTATTTGAGTTCAACATATAAGAAGTAGAAAGTACAGGTATTTGAGTTCAACATGTAAGAAGTAGAAAGTACA